CTACTCTTAGGCCCCTGGCAGAGGTTACATTTATGGTGGAGATGACACATGAATCACTCCATAAATTGTAAGATACCACATGTGCAAGCGATTTATAGCATGATATAAATGATGTTTAATGTAAAGCATCTTTGTGGCTGGTTTGTATTGCATATTAATTTGTACTTGTAGCATGTTAAAGTACAGTGACGCAGCCCTGCGCTGGGTGGCAGTGCTCAACTTCCTAGGTATCGAGTGGAGAGAGCTGATGCGGGTATTTAAACCTGCTAAGTGGGGACATCCTGGCAGCTTCCTCTGCTCAGCACCACTCAACCCACATGTGGGACAGCCCCATACATGGGTTTAAGCCTGCTGAGCTGAGGGACCCCATCAGTCTCCTGACCCAGCACCTGTCTACTCGCATCCTGGTTTAAACTTGCTGGTGTGTTTGCAGTGTCTGAGATCTGTGATCAGACCCCTTAGCATCATTATTTAATGTCTGCCAGAGGCCCTTAGAAAAGACTATAATTAATGCCAGACAACTTGGTATTGTGATAAATAGGTTTTCACAAACCTGTCTCATACTCTTTGAGATGAGTTTGGTTGATGAAGATAACTGTAGGCTTAGTTAGACTTTTGTAAGGTTTAATACTACACACTTTTCTGCCTGAGAACTTAGTACTAGACAATATTAAGAAAGCAAACATTAAGTTGATTAAGAATTGACTGTCAGATCTCAAAAAGTAGTTACTATTGAGCTTTCATCAAATAGCGTATTACTTAGTGTTCTGTAAGATTGTTATTCTAGTACTTTGTTGAGCAATCTGAACATAAAAAAAAATTCTGGTAAGATTTGTGGATGGTGCAAATATTTTTGTAAAAAAAAATTCTGGTAAGATTTGTGGATGGGGCAAATATTTTCCTTTGAGGTTGGTGTAAATTAGGTTGGAACAGCCATACAAAGCACTCTCAATTGATCACTGATCTGGACCCACACAAACAAAATATGTTTTCGTCTGGCCAAATGCAAAGTTATGCATTTAGGAACAGGGAATGAAGGTAATAACTGCAGAAAGGTGAGCAGAGTCCCAGAAAGCAGTAGCCAGAAAAGATGTGGGGGGATCATAGACAAACCATCTGAATATGTTTCTAGCATAACACTTGTAGGCAAGAAACAGCTAACACAAACCAGGGATGTGCATCAGGAGAATGGATTTAAGAAAATGATTTTACCTCTGTGTGGCATTAGTGAGATTGTTGAAATACTGTGCATCATTCTTGAGTAAATATTTGAACAATTGAAGAGGGTGCAGAAAAAGCCAAAGTGATTTCAGGGCTTGAAAAAATGCTGTTTTCTGAGAAACTTAAAGACCTCGATTTGTTGAATGAAGATTGAGAGGTGATGCAATTAACAGCATTCTCACAAAGATCCTACATGGATCTAAAGTCATCTCCTAACTTCTACTCAGTGATGGTCTAATTATGCAGCTAGTGTTTGTTTTTTAACCAGTAAGTGTCTTCAGAGGGATTAAACACAGGGTGCTGAAGGCCAGAAAAAGAACTGATGGGTGAAAGCCAAAGCGAGACAAACGGAAATTAAACATAATCCACACATTAATAGTGAGGGTGCCGGTAATTAACCAGTGGAATGAGCTAACAAGGAAAGTAATGGATTTTCTGTCCCTTGATGTCTTCGGGTCAGAACAGCGGTATGCTTTCTGTGAGATGTGTTTTAGCAAACTATAATTTTGGGTTTTAATTAAACACGTTATTTGGCTCAACATATGGGTAACAGTGAAATTTAATGGCCTGTGATTATATAGGTGGTTGTATCAGCTGATTTAATGCCTTTAAATTCTGTATATCTGTGCACAAATGTTCACAGGATTAGAACACTGCAGATTTATCTTAAGGGTGATATGAAAGACTCCTACTGGATCTTGGCACTGTAAACTGTAATTATCACTTTTTTCAATCTCAGGATTGACTTTCAGTTTCTGTATGTTTAAGGATATGAATAAATGAAAAATTATGTTGATTTAATAGGAGACAAGATTTATTATACATCAGTTCATCTGCTGTTTTACTTATCCACCCTGTGATAACTGAAAGATAAGCATGGGTAGTTCATATACCAGAATAAAGCAACTGCTATAAATTACCCACTGCTTTTAGCTTCCATTTATCTTGGGATACAAAGGGCAGGTGAAATGGTTATAGTGGATCAGGTCAACACAAGCGATTCCCACTTCTCCCCCACCCTTTGTTGCTCCTTTAATTTGGTATAATTGTTTCATCCGGTCATTCCCTAAGTTTATGTGCTTGTGTTTGTTAATGAAAGTGAGCATATTTCCCATTCTTTTTCACTAAAGAGGTTTATTTTAAATACATTCATTAAAGTTAGTTAGTCCTTTTTTCATTGTATGGTATGAATGCCAATGTTAAACTAAATGCCTTCCAAATGTGTTCATTCACAAACGTGAACCTTGCAAGATGGTAAGTTCTATATATGTTGCACAACTCAGCTTAACCTATATAATGCATTTGCACTCTTGTGTGTTAATCAGCTCTCCTGTTTTGCATATTGTTCACAAAAAATGAGGCTATAAGAACAATGCATTTGCAAAGTCAAGTGATCAAAAGCCTAGGGTGTGCCTGGATGTTGGGACTGCCTTTGCAATGTTAATTCAGCCACTTTATGTGTACATATTATGGTTATAATTTTTATTTACAAGGTCCCATTCAGTAAATGGATAGCTGTTGAGTGTTTGTTTTAATCCTGCTTGCAAAATTAGTATTCCCTGTCCTTTCCCTATGTGTACCATCCAACTTCTTCACTGAAAAAAAAAAAATTCTCCTGGGCATTTCTAACAATGCTCTCTCTTGTAGTATCCAAATGTTTCACGACTATCTAGGAATCAAAACTTGTGGTAGAGGTGATATCTTTTATTAGACCAACTAGATGTTTTCAAAAAAATTACTTTATTTGCAAGTTTTCAGGCACAGACACCCTTCTTCAGGCATAGGAGAAAAGATTATAGAAGTTCTCTTGGGTAGAAATGAAAGTTCATATTTCATACATCATGAGTATGTATTAATTTATCCTTTTATCCCCCCCTCTCCTCGTCATGTGTCCCACTTTTACAGATGGACAACTGAGGCCAAGAGATTAAAGCTAGAATTTTTAAGTATCCTCTTATTTTGGGGTACTTGAATTGAGAAATAAGGTCTCGCTTTTGAGAATGCTCTACATTTTATAGCCGTCTTATGTTTAAAACACAGCTCTAATCAACTTTACTGTGGTTGTGAATGTTCAATGCTTTTACAAATTTGGCACCAGGTTTTCACTGGCTGTTACCCAGAACATGAGGAACACATTATTGTGGCCAGTCATAAACATTTTGGTTTACTTGCTTACCCTTCATTACTGTTTTTTTTGCATTTTTTTTTTTTGCATTTGTTGGTTAATGGGTTAATTTTGACCCACTATGGAGATCCTACCCACTGTGGAGATCAGACTTCATCCCCGTTTCCCCCTTCCACAGTTCCAATATGATGCCAAGCAGTAATGAAGGGTAATACTGTGATTTTTTTTTTTAAATACATAGGGGGCAAAAGAAGGTACCCAGTAACGTGGGGCCTCTGCAAGACATGCTAGGAAATCTGGTTCTCGCACCAGACGACAAGGCTAACCTATTTAACGATTTCTTTGCCTCCGTTTTCCTCAACAGGGGAAACGGATCAGCCCATCTGCTGTGACCCCCTCAGGCCCCGGGGGAGGTGCACCCAGGCCCAGGGTCAGTGAGGATCTAGTCGGGGAACTTCTGGAGGGACTGGACATATTGAAATTAGCTGGTCCTGACGATCTCCACCCCAGAGTGCTGAGGGAATTAGCAGAGGTCATTGCGGGACCCCTGGCACGGCTTTACGAGCACTCATGGTGCTCTGGTGTGGTGCCAGAGGACTGGAAAAGGGCCAGTGTGGTTCCCATTTTCAAAAAAGGGAGGAAGGAGGACCCAGGAAACTATAGGACAGTCAGCCTTACCTCGATTCTGGGTAAGCTTTTTGAGAGAATTATCCTGGCGCGTGTCCACAAGGGGCCAGCAGGGGAGGTTATGCTTAGGGGCAACCAACATGGATTCATTAGAGGCAGGTCCTGTCAGACCAACCTGGTGGCCTTCTATGACCAGGTCACAAAATCCTTAGACGCAGGGGTAGCAGTGGACGTAATCTTTCTGGACTT